CACCCTTCATGCGACTCGCCAAATACCTCACGGCGCTTCGCGCTTGGTGATGTGAGAGCCTGGTCCGGTGAGAACCCGGCGTGCTCCGTCCCGGCTTTGTAGGGATGCGAGGTCAATGGTCAAACGACTACGGCATGCACGACTATGAGTACACCCCCCCCCCCCTGTCATGATTCTGCGTCCCCATAACTGAATACCATGGTATTAAGAAATACCCAAAACAGTAAAAACATTGCCCACCACTGAAATCTCAACACCCAAAACAAATGCACATCCAACACCATTAATAGTCTGTATCAATGACCCCCGGGCATAAAAAATACCGACCCCCCCGCTCTCACACCACCTTACGCTTGGGCCACGGCCGCTCCGCAGGTGCTCCTGGGAGAGTCGATGGGGATGACTTTCTGCCGCCTGGACGGCTCCACGCCGGTGTCCGAGCGCAAGGCGCTGATCGACAAGTTCGGCGCGGACACGAGCATCCCCGTGTTCCTCCTCAGCACGAGGGCGGGCGGGCTGGGCATCAACCTGACCGCTGCGGACACGGTGATCTTGCACGACGTTGACTTCAACCCGGAGAACGATCGCCAGGCGGAGGTGGGTGGGTGTGTTTGTATGTGTTTTTGTTGTTAGCATCGACCGCGCTAAGTATCCAGGCCGAGGTGTGTTTGTGTGTGTGTTTTTTTCTTTGTGAGCATCGACCGCGCTAAATCCCCAGGCGGAGTTGTGTTTGTGTGTGTTTTTTTTGTTGTTGGCATCGACCGCGCAGCCGGCTGACCAAGAAGAAAGACGTCAGTCTCCGTACGGTTGAAAACACGGAACACTTCTAAGTGCCATTAACTGGGACCCCGTGAGGGGGCGGCATGGGAGAGGCCAAGCTGTTCTCCGGATTAACAGTGTGTGTCCTTCTGTACTATAAGCATCGACCGCGCCATTTAGCCGGCTGACCAATGAAAAGACGTTCAGTGTCAGCGGAGCGGGTAAGGTGAAGGTCCCTGGAAGGGGGCCGAAATTCGAACAATGCGCAATGCGCAGAGTAAATGCGAATGCCAACATGACTCTCTCCACATGCTCTTTCACAAGTGGTGTGTCTTTTTTTGTTAGCGTCGACCGCGCTAACCGGCTGACCAATGAAAATACGTCACAGTCTCAGTGTGGTGGAAAACATACAATGCCTCCATAACCCACGGTATGGGACCCTGTGGCCGAGCGTCATGGGGGAGTCTACCCTACGCTCCGGATTAAAGACAGATAGATACCGTAGCAACTGCACCACGTGTGTGTCATGGCTGCTACTGCTTTGGCTGCGCGTGCGTTTTGCATCGTTTTCATAATCTTCCCCTGCATTTTCTACCGCCACTCTCGCTGCCAGTATTCCCACGACCTTTTGGCAGGTGTGTTTGTGTGCATGTGTTGTGTGCAAGCACATGCTATGCGTGTGTTGCGTACGGGGTGTTGTTACAATGTAAGCGCGAGTGGGGGTCGCTTTGCGTAGAGTCTGCGCGGCGGCAGGGTATCTGCGTGTGGTTGGGTCGTGTGCATGGAACGGAGTGTGTGGGAGTGAGTGTTTTGGGGAAAATGTTTTGTTGTCGTACAAAAACGTTTTGCTTTTTTAGCGTGTTGACGCCCGCTCGGTCGCTCAAATGGTCTAAGGCATGTAAACCATGAGTACCCCCCCCTCCCCCCCGCCGAAGAGATGGAGAGAAGGAGTAGTCGTGAACCTGTTCAAAAAGGGGGATAAAGCTGACCCGGGGAATTATAGAGGGATAACCCTGTTGAGCACAGTGGGGAAACTGTTTGGCAAGATGATAGACAATAGAATGGGAGACATGTTGGAGGGGAAACAAAAGATCAGCGAAGGACAAGCTGGATTTAGACCAGATCGTAGTTGTGTAGACCATGTATATACGTTGAGTAAAATCATCCAAGGTAGGAAAGACGCCGGGCGTACGACATACTGTTTCTTCCTCGATACACAAAAAGCCTACGACACCGTATGGCGCAATGGATTGTGGAAAAAGATGTGGGACATCGGCATCCGGGGGAAAATGTGGAGGATGTTGAAAAAGATGACAGAATGCACAAGAAGTGCGGTGATGTTGGATGGGGAAATTTCGAAGTACGTGGATATAACTCCAAGGAGTCGCACAGGGCTGTACGATGTCACCCACTCTTTTTAAGATTTACATCAACGATTTGATAAGGGCGGTTGAAGCAGTAAGACAGGGAGTCCAAGTAGAGGGAAAGAGTGTGTCCGGACTGATGTTTGCAGATGATTTCGTGGGGGTATCCGAAACACCAGAAGGGTTGCAAGAACAAATAGATGCGGCGGTAGGATACACCCGAAAATGGAGACTGTCGGCGAACGTAGGAAAATGCGCAGTAGTGGTCTGTAACGAAGATAAGAAAAATCCCGTAGAATTCAAATGGAAATGGGGGGAGGAAGAACTACCGGTAGTAGACAAGTATACGTACCTGGGAGTAGAGATTTCGAAGGAGTGCTCATGGGACGCACACATAGCGAAGTTGATTGGGAAGGGTAAAGCTCAGATAGGCAAGATGGACGAGATCCTTACGGACCCACACCTAGACACTAGGATTAAGAGGTGTATTCTCTTGAAGGTGATTGTACCTAAGCTAGAGTATGCAGGAGAGATATGGGAAGGTAACGAAAAGGCCATCAAGCAGCTGGAAACGGTGCAGATGGCAGCGGCCAAGAAAATACTAGGATGTTCAAGTACAACGAGCAACACTGTATTGAGAGCAGAATTGGGAATGCACTCTCTTAAAACAAAGAGAGACATGCAGAAGTTGAAGTGGCAGTACAAGGTAAGTAGAATGTCGGACGATAGACTACCAGCCATGGTTGACGAGGCAGCTTGGGGAAAAGCGACTCCAGGGAAGAAGGGAATCAGATGGGACAAGGTGGTAGAGAAGGTTTGGAAGGAGATAGGAGACGAGGAGGAGACGTTGGACACGGAAGGGTTCGGGGGGTTCAAGACGAAAGTCAAGGAGATGCTAGAGAGTAGGGAGGAGACAACCCTTCGGAAGAAGGTACGAAGCGAAGACCACTTGGAGATATACGGGAAGTTGAAAGAAGGGATAGGGATGAAGAAGTACTTGGACGGCCCCATGGACTATGCGAAAAAGCTGAAATTGCAATTTCGAGTAGGCGATCTGGACTTGCCAGAACGGAGGAAGAGGTATACCAGCCGTAGGAGAGAGGAAGAGGAGGATAGACACACATGTCCATGTGGCAAATCGGAGGAGAGTAGACCCCACATAGTTGGGGAGTGTGAGTTGTACAGGAAGGAAAGAGAGGATCTCGAGGAGGAAATGAGACAGAGAGGGTGTGACATGGACAAGTTTGGTAAATTAGACAACAGCGAAAAAACGATCGCGATAATTGGGGATAGATGGTGGGCACAAGAGGCCCTAGAGGACGGGGATAAGATGTGCAAGAAATTTTTATGGAGTTTGTGGCAGAAACGTAAAGAGCTCCCAAATGTTGGTGGTGTCTCTAGTAGGTGTAGGAACGGTGCTCCGTCTCGAAAGGGACGCGTGGTCAATGGTCAAATGACTACGG